AGAAAAGACATAGTTACAAAAATCAATTAGTTGTCCACGAGTACAACATCACTTCCAAATTTTTTCTACTGTGTTGCTTCAGGTGACACAGCTAGGGAAGTGATCATTCCCTTGTACTCGGCACTGGTGAGGCTGTACCTTGAATACTGTGTTCAGTTTTGCCCGTCAGTACAAGAGAGACATTGAAGTACTGGAGTGTGTCCAAAGAAAAACAACAAAGCTGGTGAAGGTTTGAGAGCACAAGTTTAGAGCTGGGGGAACTGGGTTTGTTCAGGCTGAAGAAAGGAGTCTTGGGGGAGACCTTTCACTCACTACAGCTACCTGAAAGGTTGTAGAGAAGTGGGTGTCGGTCTCTTCTCCCAAGTAAGAAGTAATAGGTCAAGAGGAAACCGCTTCAAATTGTGCCAAAGGAGGTTTAAATTTTTCCAGGGAAGGAAAAAATTCTTCACAGAAAGGGTTGTCAAACATTGGAACAGACTGCCCAGGGAAGTTACTGAGTCACCATCCTTAGAGGTATTTAAGACATGTAGACATGGCACTTAGGGACATGGTTTAGTGGCTGACTTGGGAGTGCTATGTTAATGGTTGGACTTGATGACCTTAAAGGTCTTTTTCAGCCTAAACAATTTAATGATTCTTGATAAAGGTGGTCAAGAAGGAAGCAGTTGTCACTTCTTCAAGGACATGTGTTAGCAGTGAATTCCACCTGTGTTTTGCTAAATGCAGAAAGTACACCTACTGACAGTAGAGGCTCTTTTTCTGCTCATACTTTTCTTGAGGGTATAAAAACAGCTCCTCGGCATTTATCATAAAGGCTTCGGTCAGTTCATTGTCAGATTTCAAAACTAAAATAAAAAAAGGCAGTATGCCAGCCTACAGCCTGTAGTTATGCATGAAAACAAATGGAGTGATCTTTTCATCCTAGTTTTTTAAGAACAACTTCTCTGAGTTCTCATGTCATGTCTAAATAATTTGTGAGAGCAAAATATAGACACAAAGTTTTGTCTTATGTGTTTCATTTGTGAAATGAGTGCTCTATGTATTTGAATATAGAAATTGTGTGAATTGCCTGCTTTTTAAGACATGCTAATAGTACAAAAGGAAACAATGCCAACTAAAGAGAGCTCAGTCTGGAGTAAGGAGCTCTGCAGCCATGTTCTTTGAACCTCTGAGCTGTGTCTGGCTGCTGATTCATTAGTTTGCAAAGCACCAAAACCTACATTTTCAAGTGTTCAGTCAGAATGCATTAACGTCTAGTTGCCTGAACAGATATGCTGGTCAGCCTTGTCCTGAAGGTGGGTATCAGGAAGGTTTGGGAAGGAGGAAAAATGGATACCTCCTGATCTCAGATTATATTATGAGATGCAATTGAGTACTGTAGGGCTTTCTTATTGGCCTTTCTCTTGAGCAGCTGTGCAAAAAAGCCACAGGAGCCCTGATCACAAAGACACAAGAGTCCTCTGACCAGCCCTCACCCCTTTGGCCAAACTGTGATGTTCCTGCTCTGCTGGAGCTGCTTGTCCTCTTGAAGCAGGACAGAGCAAAGGAAACAATATACCTGTCACAAGCCCTTCATCAGGTTATTTCAAGAGAGGATTTTATGCTTCCTCACATGGCTCAAGGATAGCACTAAGCAAGTACTCAGCAAGTGTATTGGTAATTCAGCAGTAACCAAGTGGGATCGAAAGGATAATTAGGACCCAAAATGTCATGTTAGCAGAAACTCATGACTAATCTAGGAGATTCATGGGGCAAGTCTTGGCAAATATCAGCTGAATATATTTTTATGTCATTAATATTCTATCAGGTGATCCTAACCTTTTACAGGAGCCTGATTAAAGAAATAAGGAAATATTCTAGTGGGCTAAGGAAGGTGTCACATAATGGAGTGTAATTGGTGTGGGATTTTTATTTGTTAAAGACAAAGCTCTGCCCTTGCTGGTGGCTCTGGACTGGCTTGGTATGTGCTTCACAGGGGGATGCTGCTCAAGCCCTCTGACAGTACATTCTTGAACATTACACTCCATTTCTGCAATGCTAAAAATAGTTGCCCTCATTTTAAAATACGGGCCTGTTAGATTATTCCAGGGGTCTGGCATACTCAGGGTAATGGAAGGCACATATCCATAAATTATCAAAACAATAAGTAGTGTTTGACCATGCTGATTTTACTTCTATTGAGATGAGTTTCCTTCCTAGTAACCTTGGAGTATCAAGACTATTCTGTAAATCAAGCTCCTGGCAGTGCTCTAGTAAATTTAAAAATAAAGAGGAAAATGTTTGGTTTTCATCTCGAGGTTGCAGAAACATCTGACTGTTTCTTGGTGGGTTTCGGGTGGGTTTTTTTGTTTGTTTTATTTGTTTTGCTTTAATTTTGCAAAATCGTATCTGCAAAATGCATAAAGTATTTTACAGAAATGATTTCTCTTTCCCAGCCTTGAAGAAAATATCATGATGCTCCGGCATGTTGGCCAATATAAATCATATTAATGCCTAAAATGTTCCAAATACCAAAACATGTTCCTGGTTTTTGATAACGAGGTTCTCTCAATTTATTTTTTTTTTTTTTTTTGTGATTAGATGATGTGCTGCCTAATTAATTTTTGGCACCCTACTGTTTGGCGGTGCATGTGTCCAGGGCACCTAATAAAGGTCACATATTTGTATGTTAAGATAGCCTCTTTTTTTTTAATCTGGAAGTCTCTTATTTAGCGGGCTAAAAATACCTAAATGTGGAAATCAGGGTGTTAAAAATGAATGTAAATCCATTCGAAGAAAGTTTCTATGTACACAGATACACAGTGTCTTACTCTAACTTAAAAACCCTTAGGTATAAACTGAATCTCTCATTTTATAGGGTGTTGCATTATAATTACAAACTGCATAATCAATAAATGATAAATATATTAAAAACTGTGATTATAAATACACTGCTAATTTCCCGAATAGTTAAAGAAACCGCAATATCAATCATTTTAGATTTTATAAGAATCAGTATTGATCTAGGAGGTTATTTTTGCATTGTGTTGAAGGGATAAGCATTTATATTCGCTGATTAAACAGTGCAAGGCAAAACATCTATAGCTTGTCTCCACAAAAAAAAATCCAACAACAAACCACAACAGTGAATGTGGGGTTTTTTTTTCTAGTTTACAGTGCTCCGATATAGCAGCAAAGGTGAAATATTATTGGGTAAATATTAATGATGAAAAAATTTTCTGAATTCATGCTGCAAATCTCGAGAAAAATGAAGGGCTAAGGATTATTTGTAACGATTAATTAGATTTTTACCCCAGCATGCTATCATCTATTTTTACAGAGGGGAGCTGGAATGAAGATGTTGGAAACTCTATCCTGACTGGAGTTAGAAAAATTCCATTTTAAGGAGCTATTTTAAGCTGTATTTTAATTGCTGTAAATCATCAGTGCTTTGTATTTATTTGCTTAATTACTTGTATCATTTTGATGAGTAATTGTTCTTTTATTGTCTCTTTCTCTTGTTAAGAGAGATTGGAGTTTTTCCTTTGTCTCTGTTCTTTTTTGTGTGTCTGGGAGGCATTCGTCTTCTGCTTGGCTTGGAATCAAACAAGTGAACTTTCAAAACTTTCTTTTGTGGCTGAATCCTGGCTTGGCTAGATAACTGAATTGGATAGTGTGTGAGTTACAAGGGCAAACTTCTGTCCAGGGATCAACACCCATGAATTGAATGGAGAAAGCATTTGATTTTAGATTCCTTTAATAAGTCTTCTAAGCTCCCACTTGAAGTAATATGAACAAGGGTGAATTCTACTAGAATTTAGGTCAGTAACTTTAGATTTATTGAGACCAAAATTAATGTACTTCACTGTGGCGTATTTCATGTAGATAGAGGGTGGCTCTTCTTAGCTTTCAGTGTCACAGCCTAGTTCTCACTAGGTCTGTAACTGTTTAATATGCTTTGCCAAGAAGGAATGGAAAAGGAAACTGCTGCAATATTTTATGTTTTAATATAAACAAGATAATAGTAGGTTTTTAACTATATCTTTTCTTAGAAGTCCCTGTAGTAAATGCAGAATTGCATTGTCTATAGCTTTCAATTCAGACTTGTTGATTTGTATTTTTCTCTTTTACTCAACTTGTCCTTATTCAGATATTGAAGATGAAGTTTACCATGTTACTCAGCTTGGATAGTTACCTTTAAAAACTTTTTTTATTAACAAGGTTTTTGTTTTTACTTATGCTTATTTGTTGAGCAAAACTTTTAAGTATCTGGTTTCCTGAATGGAATTTACAAACCCAAATCAGATTAATTTTCATGGGCAATGCAAGGAGAAAGTCATTTGTGGGTCAGGGAATGACTAACAGTCGACCATATAGCTGACTTATTTTGTTCTTGGGGTAGAGGAGGCAGTAATTTAAGAACATGCACAGAACATGCACTTAGGAAGCAGGAGAAACAAATTTTTGTCTGCCTCATTGCATAGGATCAAGATTTGCATTTCCTCCTGCCAAATAGGCTGGGGAAAGATATGAAACCCCGCTTTGAGCAGAGCCTAGAAACCAGCAGTCAGCTTAGTATGTACAACTCCCTGTGGGACCTAGCAATTTAAGCATGGATCCTTGTGGTCTCAAGTACCTAATAAGACTTAGGGAGAGGCTGGAAGATGTGGCACCCTTGGGATTTTAGGTACTTGAGTAGTATGCAAGAGTCCCCTGAAATATTTTTTTCTGAATCAGGGCCTGAAATAAAACTTAAGAAAGATTCTCATGGGATCCAAACTGAAGCAACCTACAGCTGCTGCATAATTAAATAGCCTGTAATTGTTAATTACATAATATTTTGAAAGTGAAATGTATTTTAACCAAATACAAGTCAACAGACATAAACAAACCTAGAGATAATTCAAATCTTCTGTAGAAAAGGAACAAGAAGCAGTGCATGTCTAGATGTCTTTTTCTCTTAATTTAGCTCACTCATGAGTTAGGTCTGTAATATGATGGCTATGTACATTTTGTTTCAGGGGGAAGCTGGCTTAGTAGGTGCTCCTGGCATACCTGGTCTTACTGGTTCCAAGGTAAAAGAAATAAATAAACCACCACCTACAACAAAAAAACAGTCTAATTTTCTGCATTTTCACTCTCAACATCCTTTTTGCCAGCTGTCCAGTATCTACATAAATTGCACTTAACTTACATATCCAATTTGTGAGCTGTATAATGTGACAGAGGAACTTTACTGTCAGTTTCTAAAAACCTGCGTATCAGCATCATTTTGCATTAAGAGCAGTTGCCTAAGCCTCAGAACTGTGCAGGTCTTTCCAGCCACAAGGTAGCAGATTCAAAAATTTGAAATTTGAGAGATCTCAGCAAAATGAGATGAGGGATGGCGCTGCTGCTTCCTGTCTTGCATTTGAATCTTTTGCTCCTCTTTAGAGGTGGAATATTGTGGGAAGGACAGAACTTGCAAAAAGTGACATCTGTATTATAAACCTTGCTGGTAATATTTATTCAAGCTGCCTTAGTCTTTTCATGGCCAGATTTTGTTTTCTGTTGGTTGCAGCTGTGTTTAACCCTAAGTATTTGGAATGAAGCCTCAATGTCACATATGTCTGCCCAGCTAATTCCTTTTAGAAAATTGGAGGGGAAATAGTTCTGCTGCTTCCACAAATTAAGGGACTACACATAAAACTCCACATTATTTTCTTCATACTAAAATTTCAAGACAGTGCTCTGCAGCGTGACCTTGATGCAAAGGCCTGATTTCTGTATATTTAGGGCAGATATTTCCTGTAATACAGCACGGAGGGAAGGAAGGAACTTTTCTGCATATGAGGTAGCCAGCATTGAGTTCTGCAACATGCTTACCACAATCTATCAATTTATAAGTTCGAAGCCAGGATTTCATTGACTTTTACTGCAGGCATATTTAAAACATTGAAAGTCAGATCAACAATCCTGCAGTATCAGGACAAGTAATCAGTGATTGTCCATGAAAAAGCTTGTGTGAAATGTTTTTCCTAACTTACTATGAGAATTCTGCCACAGAGAAGAGCATTAAGGTCAGTCGTAATTGTGTTATTTTGCAACATCCACGTTTTTATTTCTGCAACATTCAGATTCTTTGAAGTAACTTACCAGTGGCTAATATTGTTAATACTGTCAAGTGGAAATTACCTAAACTACTTTCTCTATGCTTTCTGTTGACTGTATTTCTTATTCCCTCTAATTTGTAATATTTATTTTAAATTTAAATCTGTGCAGAAAATCTGGACACTTTCTGAAAAAAAGAGAAGTTACTTTATCGCCCCATACTTAGGTACAGGCAGAGAACATACTGGTTGAGCAGTACCATTTCTGAAAATGACCTGGAGGTTGACATGAGGCTGAATTATGTGCTAACAGTGGTTCACTTTCTCTCCTACTGGGGAGAAAGTGAACCACATATTGGACAATGATAGTAAAAACTGAAGCTGGCAGATCAGGGGAAGATATTTTCCCCCTTTGCTTGGTGGTGCTGCATCTGGAATGCTGTGTCATGTTTGGCAAGGGGTGAGGGGCTTTCACCCTTAATACTTTAAGAGGTGTAGAGAAACCAGAGGGGGTCCACAGGGAGCTAGGGTATGTTCAGGAGCTTAGAAAACAAGACCTTTGAGGAGAGTTTCAAAGTACTTTGTTGAATCTGGCAAAGAGGAGTCCAAGGAGTGATCGCGACTGTCCTGCAGACATAAGAAGCCCAGCTGGCTGGTCTTCAAGGGCTGATTCTTAAAATCCTAAGAACAGTCCACAATGATGTAAAGGGAGTCGAGCGACCGTGGCAGAAGGTCAGCATGGATGAACAAGTAGTTCCTGACTGAGATCACACACAAAGAGGAAGTAAACAGTGGGAGCAGGGATGAGCTACCCAGCAGGAATACAGAAACATTGCCAGAGCACGTGGCAAAGGAGTTAGGAAGCCAAAAATTCATCTGGAATTGCAACTAATAAGGGATTTGAAGTTCAGCATAAAGGGCTTCTGTTAACTGCATCTGTAGTTAAAAAATGAGGCTGAAGAAAATGTTGACCCACTCCTTGATGGGGTGGGGGATGTGGAAAAGACTGAGTGTACCTGATGGGTTTTTTGCTTTGGTTTTCACTAACAAAGTTTGCCTTCAGGCCTCCCAGATTACTTAAATCTCCTAGCAGAGTGTATGAGAATGTACCATTGTGCACTGAAGGGGAAGACAGTGTTAAGGAGCACTTAAACTACTTGGATGTTTGCAAGATACCAAGCAGTATGCATCTAGGGGTGCAGAGGGAGCTGGGTGACAGATTGCAAGGCTGCCGTCTGTCATTATCAAAAGATCATGATGACTAGGGGAGGTTTTGGATGACTGGAAACAGATAAACATCACATTCATCTTCAAGAAGGATCCATGGAACTGCAGGCCAGTTGGCCTCACCTCTGTTTTTATCACCAAAAATCAATCATGCCTTAATGCACATTAAGGTGCATTAAGGGACATCAGTGGATGTTGTATACCTTGACTTTAGCCAGGCTTTTGGCACAGTCTCCAGTCATATCATTGTAGTCAAATCTGTGAATTACAGACTGGATAAATGGACAGTAAGGTGGTGGAAGATCAGTTGGATTGTTGAGCTCAAGGGTGGAATAACTGCTATACAGTCCAGCTGCTACGTAGTAAGTAGTGTGATCCCTTGTGGAGTGAGACTGGGGCCAGTATTATTTAGTGTCTTAGTAATTACCTGAATGATGGATTCTCAGCATGTTCATGGATGTTAGCAAATATAGGAAAGTAGTCAGTGCACTGGAAGGTCGGACAAGTATGATATTCAGTGGGACCTCAACATGCTGGAGAAATGAACTAATGGCAGAATTCATGAAGTTAAGCAGAGGCAAACATGAGGTCCTGCCTTTCTGAAGGAAATAGCCTCATGCAACAGTGCAGTCTAGGTTCCAAATTTCTAGAAAGCAGCTCTACAGAAAAGGAGTTGGAGTCCTGCTGGGTATCCTTGTGGTGGAGGAGGACAACAACATCTTGGGCTGCCTTAGCAAGAACATGGCCAGTACATCAGGAAGAGCAGTTATTTTAGTTATAATATAGCCAGGTTGCAGACTATTTGACTAAGATATTAACATAGTAAGGTTGTGCATTAGGATCTTCTTCTAAGATAAATTATCAAATTGGAGCTGGAACATTATAACAGGTCTTTTTATTGAAAAATTATCAAATAAATAGTTTAATCTGATGAGCTTGAGTTAATATTTCAACATTCACTCCTGTGTTTTTTTTTTTTTTGTTGTGTGTTGTTTGTTTTTGTCTTTTTGTTTGTCTGTTTATTTGTTGGGGTGGTTTTTTAGTAGTTAGATATGGGTTTTAAAGTGAAAGGAATGCACTTTCTGTAAATTATATCTGTAGCTTTTTTTGAATTGTTCAGGGTTTCATAGACCTTCACAGCTGACTAGTCATTTTTCAAAATTAAAATGAAGTTATTAATAGCAAAAAATGTATTAAAACTGGTTCTGCAGAAGAACAGAAGGACTGTAACAAGCAAGTTTAGTGTAAGTGTCAGGACAAGAATCCAAGAAGATTACTTAGGCTGAATGGAAAAAATGTTTGACTGTTAATCCACAAAACAGTGGAAAAACATGGCTATTTTTCATAGAGGTTTTTCACAGAGGTTTCACACCTTTTTGAATGAGCGACAATCAGTATCTAAATAATTTCTTCTGTTTTAATCTCATAATAAAACCCAGTGCAATAAAACTATTTTAAAGAATTAAATTATTTGGAGAATGTTTAGGTTTGAGATTTTTAACTTTTGTTTGTTTGTTTGTTCCAGGGTGAACGTGGCTTTCCTGGTGGTAAAGGTGAAGAAGGAGAAAAGGTAAATTATTTTGTCCATGTCACAATTTTTTCAACTTAACAATTTCATATAAGGCCAAACAAGCAGAGCTTTTTTCTGAATGTGTTCCTTGACTCTTTCATGAATAAAATTCTTATTATTTTGCTATGCAAATGCTTAAGAACAAAGACTTTTTATGCATGCTAATCAGTGAGATCAGTGCTTCTTTTAGAAATACTTGATTTTTTTTAAGAAAAGATTGAATAATGAAGCCTAACAGAACCATAGCCACTAGACTCCAGTAATGTTTACTGCTCTCTTGTTTCTATGGTAACTAGTAAATGTTTGTTTATACAGTATGAAATGTATCATAAGATGATGTGTAGGCATTTATAGTACTTAATTACTGCTTTTGTACATTAAAAATGTACTTTTTTACAATTTCCTGTGTTGATTGTAAGCAGTAAATGTTTTACACATTTTTTCCTAAGAGCAGAATTTTACTGCAATACCAAAATTTTACATTTGCTACAGCATAACTGACTGCTAATTTAGAAAGGTTAATTTCCATTTGTATACTTCAAAGGCAAGTATGTGTTGAGGGACAAGTGGAAGGAAAACACCTGATCTTTGATTACCTAGTAGGAATTAAGGTAATGATGGTGATAGTTTATGTTGAAACTTCAGCTCCTAACCATGTTGCTGCCTGATTACTGCTTTTTCACTAGTTTTGGTTGATTTGGATTAGGCAACCTGAATTAAGACTCTCGGTTTATAGAAAGTTTCTCTGTGCTTCAGCTGACTGTCTGAAAAAGGTGCAGACAAGCGTTTCTGCTTTTGTGTGCTTATAAAGATGAAAAACAACGCGTACTGCTATTCTGGTGATATTTTGAATGAAGAAAATGGAGAATAGGTGGCTGAATTTAAAATGTGCACTATATCTGTGAGTAGGGCTGTTTTGGAAATGGATATATTCACTCACCCACTCTTCAAAAGTGACAGCCAGCTTTACAGTGTTCATATTTTTAAAGAAAGCATGCTACGGATTAACAGAATTTAAGCAGTTTTAAGATTTATGAGGGTTTTTTTAGAAGAAAGTGTTCTGGTAACCAGGAAGGAAAAAGTATCAGAAGTAAAAACCAGAATCCATAGCAACAAGCATTTATAATGTGAAGATTCAGCCTCTGAAAAAACCCACTTGTTAAGCTTGAGTGTTTGTAACTCCACCAACAGATCTTATTTCCTTGGTGGTATCATTATTCAGCAGTTCTGAAGGGCTTGCGGATTTTTTTTTTTTTTTTTTTTTTTTTTTTTTTTTTTTTTTTTGGTCATAATTGCTGTGCAGCTGCGCTGTGCTTTGCCCGAGTTTTATGAGTAAATTGTGTTTGGACACAGACACACAGTTCCAGCTGTTGCTGCCACTCTCTTTGCTTGATTTCCTTTATTTTAAGACAGATAAAAATGACCCAACCAGTGGTAGTCACATTTTTGTTATGTGGAAGCTGAGTCAGCACATTTGGACCAATTTAAAAGTATTTCCAGTGTAACTATTAATAATGTATTCAGCTATCCTTAAAATAAAAGGAAAATAAACAAGTGGAAGGATCTTTATTTGCCAGTGATTACTCAAGAATAATTTAGGGCAGTCTCATGAGAAGCTACACATCATGACTTGTGAGGAAGTAGTGTGGTTTAGGCTATAGGAAGTAAGTCTCAGCCTGGGCTTTAGCAGTTAGTCAATTTAGCCTTAATTCAAATAATTACTAAAGAACAACAATTGCGAGTTTCCAGTTACTGAACTCCAGCATTAAAAATGTATCAACAGCTTTGCATTTTAACATAGCATCACAAAATAAAATAGTTGTAATAATTTTTGCATAGAAAAACATGATTAAAAATCTTGGAACCTAAATTTGATTTTTTTCCTAATACAAAAAACTGCTTCATATTGCATATTAAGGAACAAGATAGTATTTGCATGCCATGTCTTGAGTATCACCTAGCATGAGACACAGCTGCCTAAACATGGGATATTTGCATTCCAAACTCTGTAGAAGCACATTAAAATGAACAATCCTATATTTTTGTTTTGGTGACCATATAATTCCATTGGATTGAATGCTTGAAACCAATTCAGTCTTATACTTCTTGGTTCATCAAACCAAACAAGTTGACCATGGCTTTTACTGTACCACATGCTACTTTGGCAGAGCAAACTCTGGGACCACCAGAGAGATGTAGGCAACTGAGGTGAAAGTGAATGACTGTATGTAAATTAGAGGAAGCATCCATAATTTAAACTATTAAGGGAGATTCTTTAGGCAGTTTAAAGGTTTCTTTGTCATGCTTGGTTCTCTTTGAGGAATCCAGAAGTCTTGTTTCGCCTTCCTCCTTTTTTTTGGTCTTGGTAGAACTTAGTTTGCTCTTACAGAAGCCAGTAGTGGTAAAGGAAGCTACAGACTGTGTGTGGAGGTGTTATGCTGGAAGTTTTTCCTCCATGGGAAATATACTCTTGCTGTAAATATTATTTAAATTCTCCTTTGTATTCTGTTTTCTTTTTGTTACTTAGATAATGACATTGTCTTATGTGTTAGTCTAATAGCTCTAACAAAAACATTGGTCTACCCTTCAATAGCATGACTGAAAAAGTATATGCCGAGAGCAGTTTTCATTGGTTTGCTGCCAGGAAGTCAGACTTTATCATATGGATCTATCCTCAACCTAATTGTAGTTAATTGTAATCTGTTCAGAATTGTAATTTTATGGTACAGGATAGAAAGGATGAGTATCAGACTTTATAATTATAGGCAGGAAGGAAGGACTGATGATAAGTAGAAGAAAGCTTTAAAATTCAGAATGATCTTAATCAGAAATGTAGCCTGAAAAAAAAAAAAAAAAGAATCCAATGCAGAAGTAACAAGTGCAAGGAGCTACCTGTGGGGGAGAAAAAATGAGCTGCAAAAAACCCAAATCAAAAAGTATCTACTCAGAAATTGAAACCTGAGGATTGTTTGGAGGAGAAGCTGAGCACACATAAATGCAGTCTTTATGAAAGACTTTAGGATGTTTTAAAGTGAAATATTGTCTGCAACACTGATCAAATAGTCCTATTTGGTACTGGTAGGGCTTCAACTTAAAGCATTTTGAGAGCACTGAGAATGGCTGGTGCTCAGGAGCATACAACCTTTGAGGAATGATGGTATGAACAAAGATTACTTAGAGTCAGCTGAAAAGAAATATGTAAACAGTCGTCAAATACATAACACTGCTGTAAAGAGGAAGAAAGTGGTATATTTGCTGTGTCTGTAGTGAGTATAAAGCAATGAGCTGAAAGTGAAGTAAGGAAAATGCTGTTTAGCCATTGGGAAAAAGTTTTTAATTTTAACACTGTTGATTGTTGTACAAGTAATTTTCTTTTCCAGTGGTCTGCAGTTTTTATCCAAGTTACAGAAAAGGGGAAAAAAAACTAAAGAAAGGCTTGCTTCATGCAAATGCAGATGATCAGATTTGTCTTAGATGATTTTACCATTTTCAGTTAACAGCATCAAAATTATGCAAGGTATCACACTGATGTCTAATTGGATAAGCACAGAGAACAGCAAGACAGTTTCTTTTTCAACAGATATCCTTGTTTCTTTTTCATGCCTAGTTAATACTTTTCTGATGCAGGATAGTGAAGCTCTGGAATAGGTTGCCCAATGTGGTTGTGCAGCCTCTTTTCCTTGCGGTTTTCAAGACCAGCCCTAAGCAACCTGGCCCTGACCCCATAGCTGAACACTGCTTGGAGCATGAGGTTGGACTAGAGACCCCTTTTGAGGTCATGTCCAGTCTTAGTTATCCTTTAATTTTAGGAACAGTGAACATGCACGCGATATTTTTCTGATTTCTGTCGGTTTATGTGGATTTATAATTCGGAGAATAATAAAAAACTATAATAATCTAGTCTTTTTTTTGTTTGTTTGTTTGTTTGAGGTTTTGTTTAAATGTTGTTAGGGGTGAGATTTGAATGTACATTTATTTACAGTATGGACCAATATTATTCACCAGAATCTGTTATAGACAGATTTCTTTTTTTAAGATGTGTATATAAATTCACACACTCTAGTTTTGGAGCATAATGTCTAGGGATGGCCAGTGCCCTTCCTTAAATATCCAATCATCTGTCAGCTGATGCAGTCTTCCTTATAGAAACTCTTGTAGAAGGCTTGTTTGGCTTACATTGTACATGGTTGCTTGGATGATGGGTGTGTATGCATTCACTGGTTTTACCTTGGGATTACTGAAACCCTACCATACAGATAGTTACAAAATAAATTGTTCAACATAAATGAAATCTAAGGGTGTCTTCAGAATTTAAGTTCCAAAAAAAGGAGAATCTAAAAATTTTATTACTATTAAAATTGCCGTGCAGCTGCTGGGTTGTCTGATCACAGCTCCATTCATGTGAACTGTGGCAGTTCCCCTAGCTGAATCCCTGTTTCTGTTTTAACTCAGAGGCAAGTAAGGTATGATGTTATGTAGACTAAATCTCATTACTAGTTGATGTCTTTGAAGACAAAGTTGCGAGTGGTAGAGTACAAGTGGTAGAGTACAAGGATGGCTGTTCACTGGAGAGGGACTCTTCAATTGCAGTTTTCCTTGACTAGGTGCTTTCCTTTATAAAGCATATTTCCTTCCCATCTCACACTTGAAATAGAGGATTTTCAAACAGGATGTCATTGAAGCTGAGCTATGTAGCAGTACATGTACTGTGATATGCACTTGTAAATGGTTGATCTTTGCTAAAGTTATTTCACTGTAATTCTTCGATTTATATTTCTCAGTAAAATGATATAAGTAAAAAAGTTGGATGTATTAGACTAAGGGAAACTTTTGGAGTAAAACCGCAGTGATAGTTATTCATTATTTCCAGTTTCATCCTTTTATCTTTACTTTTTGTATGTTTTGATCATGCTTTTGCCTGTGTATGCATGTGAGAAGAGAGGAGGAGTCTGGGGCTTGTCCAGCATAAATGTAGAAAAAATTGTCATCTGCTTCATTTT